AGTCACAGTCTGTATCAGTCACTGGCAGTCTGTACCAGTCACAGTCTGTATCAGTCACTGGCAGTCTGTACCAGTCACAGGCAGTCTGTACCAGTCACAGGCATTCTGTACCAGTCACGGGCACTCTGTACCAGTCACGAGCATCAATCAGATGGAGTCATCACACTTTTACCAGCGATGTTTAAGGGCCTCAATACCACTTTTAAAGAAGTCCTTTTCTTGACTGTTCAGAGAGTCCTCCACTGCATGTATGACGTCATCACATGACTGATATTGGGTACCAGGAATTGCCTTTTTCAATTTTCGAAATGGAACCAGATCAGGCGAATGAGGGTGATGCTCAAGAAATTCAAATCCACAATCCTTGATGGCAGCCATAGCAATGACAGACTTGTGAACAGGGGCATTGTCCTGGTAGAACAACGCACCTTTAAGAAGTTTTCAGTGACACTTGAGTTTAATATTTTTCTCTTGATTGCCTAAGAAGTGATGCATAATATGTGCCATTGATTGTTTGTCTCTTTTGCAGATAATCTACCATCACAACACCATCAGCATAACAGAATGTTGAGGCCATAACTTTTCCAGCGGTTGGAACAGTCTTTGCCTTCTTTGGCGAGGGTGAACCAGAGTGCTGCCATTGTTTAGACTGTTGTTTGGACTCTAGGGTGAAATGATGGATCCCAGGTTTCATCCAGAGTCACTAACTTCTGTAGAAAGTTAGCAGGATCTGCCTTTAAAAGGTTCAGATCAGCATGCAACAAAGTCTGCCCTGGAAAGCTTCTCATCAACTGTCAGAAGTATTGGTACCCATTTGGCTGAGAGCTTTTTCATCGCAAAATCTTCCATAAGAATAGAATGTAATCATTCCTGTGACATAATTCCCTAGTGTTGCTGCCATGTCAGTATGGATATCCTTAGGTGTCACACCTTTCTGATGCATATACAGAATCACTGCTCTTTAAACGATTTTGTCCATTTTGCAAAAGTCTCTTGCCTTGTTTACTTTAGAATGCTACCTCTTCGACATAAACTCACCAATTGACTCTAGTCTTTGGGTTAACAGCCTTAAATAGTGCAGATATAGTAAAGTGGAAAAAGGACATCCCTGCTTAACTTCTTCAATGCAAGGCTTACAACTTGTCAATCAGCCAAGTAAGAACTGTATGTTGCTGGAGTATTATTAGTCTACTTGAAAATTTGATTGATATAAGAGAAATTTTGTGAGGACAGTTAGCATAACTTGAAGTCAACACAATATCATTTAAACATGTTTACTTGCAAGAAACGAGAACACTAAAAATCCAACTACAAATACATATAAATAAACAAGAAATAGTACTTCATAACAAAATAACTGAAAATAGTACTTTTAACAAATGAAGGAACAAGAATGTTTTTCATTGAAATATCACAGTCGTAAATGGCACACACATCACAGACAGTATAACAGCACATTGAAAACTACTTTGATTGGGGTCAGGTTGTCACTTCCTGCTGCTAAGAAAAGTATACTTGTACATTTAACAAACTTTTGATTAAATATTTTGTTTAAATATCCGTAACTGATAGACTTAATCAAATTCGCCAAATTTTCAGAAAACTTTTTTTCAGGACAGAAATCCTTTAGACAACTAAAAAGAATGTAAAGTCAGCAGCAGTTGGTGAGACTTCTGAAGTAATAAAAGTTAAATGGTCGTGGATACCCAGCAGTTGTCTACAAGGTTGCAGTATTGTGATACTAACCAATCCCAAATTATCCAGTTTACCCTGAAAACAAATAGTAAGTTATGAGGAAACTGTGGAGTTTTTAATATCTGAAATATTATGAACCTCTGATGATATCACTGTCTGACCATATCACCGTCTGACTGTATCACTGTCTGACTGTATCACGTATCACTGTCTGACCATAACTGTCGGATCGTATCACCGTCTGACCATATCACTGTCTGACTGTATCACGTATCACTGTCTGACCATAACTGTCGGATGGTATCACCGTCTGACTGTATCACTATCTGACTGTATCACGTATCACTGTCTGACCATAACTGTCGGATCGTATCACCGTCTGACTGTATCACTGTCTGACCGTATCACCGTCTGACTGTATCACTGTCTGACTGTATCACGTATCACTGTCTGAACATAACTGTCGGATCGTATCACCATCTGACCATATCACTGTCTACCTGTATCACTGTCTGACTGTATCATGTATCACTGTCTGACCATAACTGTCGGATCGTATCACCGTCTGACCATATCACTGTCTGACCGTATCACTGTCTGACTGTATCACGTATCACTGTCTGACCATAACTGTCTGAACGTATCACCATCTGACCATATCACTGTCTGACTGTATCACTGTCTTACCATAACTGTCGGATGGTATCACCGTCTGACTGTATCACTGTCTGACTGTATCATGTATCACTGTCTGACCATAACTGTCTGAACGTATCACCATCTGACCATATCACTGTCTGACTGTAACTGTCTGAAGGTATCACTGTCTGACCGTATCACCGTCTGACTGTATCAGTGTTTGACCGTATCACCGTCTGAATGTATCAGTGTCTGACCGTATCAGTGTCTGACCATATCACTGTCTGACTGTATCACTGTCTTACCATAACTGTCTGAACGTATCACTGACTGTATCACTGTCTTACCATAACTGTCTGAACGTATCACTGTCTGACTGTATCAGTGTCTGACCGTATCATCGTCTGACCATATCACTGACCGTATCACGTATCACTGTCTGACCGTATCACTGTCTCAACATATAACTGTCTGACTGTATCACTGTCTTACCATAACTGTCTGAACGTATCACTGTCTGACCGAATCACTGTCTGACTGTAACTGTCTGAACGTATCACTGTCTGACTGTATCACCGTCTGACTGTATCACATATCACTGTCTGACTGTATCATCGTCTGACTGTATCAGTGTCTGACCGTATCACCGTCTGACTGTATCAGTGTCTGACCGTATCAGCGTCTGACCGTATCACTGTCTGACTGTATCATCGTCTGACCATATCACTGTCTGACCGTATCTCTGTCTGACTGTATCATCGTCTGACCATATCACTGTCTGACCGTATCACCGTCTCAACATATAACTGTCCGACTGTATCACTGTCTGACCGTATCACTGTCTGACTGTATCATCGTCTGACCATATCACTGTCTGACCGTATCTCTGTCTGACCGTATCAGCGTCTGACCGTATCACCGTCTGACTGTATCACTGTCTGACCGTATCACCATCTGAGCATATCACTGTCTGACTGTATCAGCGTCTGACCGTATCACTGTCTGACTGTATCAGCGTCTGACCGTATCACTGTCTGACTGTATCAGCGTCTGACCGTATCTCTGTCTGACTGTATCATCGTCTGACCATATCACTGTCTGACCGTATCACCGTCTCAACATATAACTGTCCGACTGTATCAGTGTCTGACCGTATCACTATCTGACTGTAATTGTCTGAACGATCACTGTCTGAACGTATCACCATCTGACTGTATCACGTATCACTGTCTGACTGTATCATGTATCACTGTCTGACCGTATCACTGTCTGACTGTATCACGTATCACTGTCTGACCGTATCACGTATCACTGTCTGACCATTTCACTGTCTGACCATATCACTGTCTGACTGTATCACTGTCTGACCGTATCACTGTCTGACTGTATCACGTATCACTGTCTGACCGTATCACTGTCTGACTGTATCACGTATCACTGTCTGACCGTATCACGTATCACTGTCTGACCATTTCACTGTCTGACCATATCACTGTCTGACTGTATCACTGTCTGAACGTATTATCGTCTGATCGTATCACTGTCTGACTGTATCACCATCTGACTGTAACTGTCTGACCATATCACTGTCTGACTGTATCATGTATCACTGTCTGACCGTATCACTGTCTGACTGTATCACGTATCACTGTCTGACCGTATCACGTATCACTGTCTGACCATTTCACTGTCTGACCATATCACTGTCTGACTGTATCACTGTCTGACCGTATCACCATCTGACTGTAACTGTATCACGTATCACTGTCTGACCGTATCACATATCACTGTCTGACTGTATCATTGTCTGACCATATCACTGTCTGACCGTATCACGTATCACTGTCTGACTGTATCACGTATCACTGTCTGACTGTATCACGTATCACTTTCTGACTGTATCATTGTCTGACCATATCACTGTCTGACCGTATCACGTATCACTGTCTGACCGTATCACATATCACTGTCTGACTGTATCATTGTCTGACCATATCACTGTCTGACTGTATCACGTATCACTGTCTGACCGTATCACATATCACTGTCTGACTGTATCATTGTCTGACCATATCACTGTCTGACCGTATCACGTATCACTGTCTGACTGTATCACGTATCACTGTCTGACCGTATCACGTATCACTGTCTGACTGTATCACGTATCACTTTCTGAATGTATCATTGTCTGACCGTATCACTTATCACTGTCTGACTGTATCACATATCACTGTCTGACCGTATCACTTATCACTGTCTGACTGTATCACATATCACTGTCTGACCGTATCTCTGTCTGACTGTATCATCGTCTGACCATATCACTGTCTGACCGTATCACCGTCTGACCGTATTACTGTCTGACCATATCCCTGTCTTGTACAAGGAAATAACTTAGTTAATATACATGATTCAAGCTTAAATACATTAACCAAATTGGGATTCAGAAACATGAACAAAAGTTTACATGTTGATGAAATGCACCAGCAATCAAACCTTATTTGGCACAGAGCAAACACAATACAAACATATGCCATCATCATTAAAATGGACACTTGGATTTCAGACAAAGGTTTTACTTACAATTAAAATGATGGTAGGGAATTATTAGTTATGACTAAATCCTGTGATAGACATTGCCAGCCTGACTACTACAACAGCAAAATTTAGGCTAGAGTTGAAATCAATTTCTTCATCAGGTCAGGGGACAACAGGCCCTCACCACGTTTCACAAGACGTCCTACTTTGGGATTTTTATTTAACACCTTTGTCATTTCAGCTTCCAGTTTTGAGATTTTCTTTCCTTTGGCATTGTTTGTATAACTGATTTTTTCTCTTTTTTCACTTGACTTATCTTTGTGATGAAAGGTTGATGACATTGGAGCAGAGACTGACCGGGCAAGTTTGCCATCTGACTGCCGGACAAGCGGTTTGTGATCAATGTTGATAGCCTGTTCCTTGCCCACTGTTGAACTGATAGCCTGCCTGCTCCCCGACTCACATTTAGACTTTATAGACTCTGAACTGATGACTAGATTCTGGTTTGTCCTTGCTCTTGGCTGTTGCAACCGTCGCTGTCGTTTAATCCTCATTTCTTTCTCAAGTGTGTTTTGATCCTGACATTTGAACTTTGATTTGTTCTTTAGTAGTTTGTCCTTCACCTTGGTTTGGACTGGCTCTTCACTGAGACGTTGTTTTAGAAGAGCAAGACTAGATTGGAGCTCATCACCTTGACGCCGACTTATGCCACTGTCAGTAGATGAGAGTGTGTGAGCGTCACTGTCATCACTACTGGCCTCATCTGTAATATCCACATTGTAAGCATCTTCCCAGTACCGTGCCTCGGAGATGTTTTCCAAAAGAGATATGGTTCCAATCCCTCCAACACTGACTGGGCGAGGCTTGCTGTGATCCATATGAGGTACAATTTCTATCCCTACTTTCTTCAACTGACTGTCCTTTTTAGTGCCACTACTGCTGTTCCTAGTTGAGGTAGCTGAATGACTATGGGACAAAGACTGTCTGTCACTGTAGGATGTATGTGGCTTCTCTGCTTTTGATTCTTCTAAAGTGGAACTCCTTTCATCAAAGCTTGAGTAGCCTGTGTCCACAGTCCTACAAGAATCTGCAGCACTGAGATCAGTTTTACAAGACTCTGACATCCCTGGTAAGACTTGGATGATGATGGTTTTACTGTAAGGGGGTAATGACCTTTGAGAGGATTGTTTGGGGGATGTCTTGGGAAGGGGGTAACAATGAGAGGATGGTTGGGTCAACAAAATCAAGGGGGTACACATTTGAGAGGATGTTTGGGTGTGTGATGAGTATCTGGGGTAAGGGTGAGAGGATGGTTGGGTGGGGGATGAGTAGGAAGAGGGAAGGGGAGGAAGGTATGAGAGGATGGTTGGTTGGGGGATGAGTGGGAAGGGGGTAAGGATGAGAGGATGGTTGGGTGGGGGATGAGTAGGAAGGGGGTAAGGGTGAGAGGATGGTTGGGTGGGGGATGGGTGGGAAGTGGGTGAGGATGAGAGGGATGGGGGTGGGTAATGAGTGGGAAGGATAAGGATGAGAGGATGGTTGGTTGGGGGATGAGTGGGAAGGGGGTAAGAGTGAGAGGATGGTTGGGTGGGGGATGAGTAGGAAGGGGGTAAGGGTGAGAGGATGGTTGGGTTGGGGGGATAGGAAGGGGGTAAAGGAAGGGGGTAAGGAGAGAGGATGGTTGGGGATGGGGGATGGTGGGAAGGGGGTAAGGTGAGAGGATGGTTGGGTGGGGATGAGTGGGAAGGGGGTAGAGGATGAGAGGATAAGGGTGAGAGGGTTGGGTGGGGGATGAGTGGGAAGGGGGTAAGGGTGAGAGGATGGTTGGGTGGGGGATGAGTGGGAAGGGGGTAAGGTTGAGAGGATGGTTGGGTGGGGGATGAGTGGGAAGGGGGTAAGGTTGAGAGGATGGTTGGGTGGGGGATGAGTGGGAAGGGGGTAAGGTTGAGAGGATGGTTGGGTGGGGGATGAGTGGGAAGGGGGTAAGGATGAGAGGATGGTTGGGTGGGGGATGAGTGAAGTGGGAATGGGGGATGAGTGGGAAGGGGGTGAGGGTGAGAGGATGGTTGGGTTGGGGATGAGTAGGAAGGGGGTAAGGTTGAGAGGATGGTTGGTTGGGGGATGAGTGGGAAGGGGGTGAGGGAAGGGGATAAGAGTGAGAGGATGGTTGGGTGGGGGATGAGTGGGAAGGGGGTAAGGATGAGAGGATGGTTGGGTGGGGGATGAGTGGGAAGGGGGTAAGGGTGAGAGGATGGTTGGAGGGAATAAGGATGAGAGGATGGTTGGGTGGGGGACGAGTGGGAAGGGGATAAGAGTGAGAGGATGGTTGGGTGGGGGATGAGTAGGAAGGGGGTAGGGTGAGAGGATGGTTGGGTGGGGATGGGTGGGAAGGGGTAAGGGGAGGAAGGGGGGGTGAGAGGGGTGGGGGGGGTGAGGTGAGAGGAAGGGGGTAAGGTGAGAGGATGGTTGGGTGGGGGGGAAGGGGGATGAGAGGAGTGGGGGATGAGGAAGGGGGTAAGGGTGAGAGGATGGTTGGATGGGGGATGAGTGGGAAGGGGGTAAGGATGAGAGGATGGTTGGGTGGGGGATGAGTGGGAAGGGGGTAAGGGTGAGAGGAGGGTTGGGTGGGGGATGAGTAGGAAGGGGGTAAGGATGAGAGGATGGTTGGGTGGGGGATGAGTGGGAAGGTAGTAAGGGTGAGAGGATGGTTGGGTGGGGGATGAGTAGGAATGGGGTAAGGGTGAGAGGATGGTTGGGTGGGGGATAAGTGGAAAGGGGGTAAGGATGAGAGGATGGTTGGGTGGGGGATGAGAGGGAAGGGGGTAAGGGTGAAAAGATGGTTGGGTGGGGGATGAGTGGGAAGGGGGTAAGGATGAGAAGATGGTTGGGTGGGGGATGAGTGGGAAGGGGGTAAGGGTGAGAGGATGGTTGGGTGGAGTGGGAAGGGGTAAGGTGAGAGGATGGTTGGGTGGGGGATGAGTGGGAAGGGGGTAAGGGTGAGAGGATGGTGGGGTGGGGGATGAGTAGGAAGGGGGTAAGGGTGAGAGGATGGTTGGGTGGGGGATGAGTGGGAAGGGGGTAAGGGTGAGAGGATGGTTGGGTGGGGGATGAGTGGGAAGGGGGTAAGGGTGAGAGGATGGTTGGGTGGGGGATGAGTGGGAAGGGGGTAAGGATGAGAGGATGGTTGGGTGGGGGATGAGTGGGAAGGGGGTAAGGGTGAGAGGATGGTTGGTTGGGGGATGAGTAGGAAGGGGGTAAGGGTGAGAGGAGTAGGAAGGGGGTAAGGGTGAGAGGATGGTTGGGTGGGGGATAAGTACGAATGGGGTCAGGTTGAGAGGATGGATGGGTGGGGGATGAGTGGGAAGGGGGTAAGGATGAGAGGATGGTTGGGTGGGGGATGAGTGGGAAGGGGGTAAGGATGAGAGGATGGTTGGGTGGGGGATGAGTAGGAAGGGGGTAAGGGTGAGAGGATGGTTGGGTGGGGGATGAGTGGGAAGGGGGTAAGGGAGAGAGGATGGTTGGGTGGGGGATGAGTAGGAAGGGGGTAAGGGTGAGAGGATGGTTGGGTGGGGGATGAGTGGGAAGGGGGTAAGGATGAGAGGATGGTTGGGTTGGGGATGAGTGGGAAGGGGGTAAGGGTGAGAGGATGTTTGGGTGGGGGATGAGTGGGAAGGGGGTAAGGGTGAGAGGATGGTTGGGTGGGGGATGAGTGGGAAGGGGGTAAGAGTGAGAGGATGGTTGGGTGGGGGATGAGTAGGAAGGGGGTCAGGATGAGAGGATGGTTGGGTGGGGGATGAGTAGGAAGGGGGTAAGGGTGAGAGGATGGTTGGGTGGGGGATGAGTAGGAAGGGGGTAAGGGTGAGAGGATGGTTGGGTGGGGGATGAGTAAGAAGGGGGTAAGGATGAGAGGATGGTTTGATGGGTGATGAGTAGGAAGGGGGTAAGGGTGAGAGGAGGGTTGGGTAGGGGATGAAGGGGGTAAGGATGAGAGGATGGTTGGATGGGGGATGAGTAGGAAGGGGGTAAGGGTGAGAGGATGGTTGATTGGGGGATGAGTAGTAAGGGGGTAAGGGTGAGAGGATGGTTGGATGGGGGATGGGTGGGAAGTGGGTAAGAATGAGAGAGATGGGGGTGGGGAATGAGTGGGAAGGGGGTAAGGGTGAGAGGATGGTTGGGTGGGGGATGAGTGGGAAGGGGGTAAGGGTGAGAGGATGGTTGGGTGGGGGATGAGTGGGAAGGGGGTAAGGGTGAGAGGATGGTTGGGTGGGGGATGGGAAGGGGGTAAGGGTGAGAGGATGGTTGGGTGGGGTGAGAGGATGGTTGGGAGGGGATGGTTGGGTGGGGGATGAGTGGGAAGGGGGTAAGGGTGAGAGGATGGTTGGGTGGGGGATGAGTGGGAAGGGGGTAAGGGTGAGAGGATGGTTGGTGAGAGGAAGGGGGGATGATGGTGGGAAGGGGGTAAGGGTGAGAGGATGGTTGATTGGGGGATGAGTGGGAAGGGGGTAAGGGTGAGAGGATGGTTGGGTGGGGGATGAGTAGGAAGGGGGTAAGGGTGAGAGGATGGTTGGGTGGGGGATGAGTAGGAAGGGGGTAAGGGTGAGAGGATGGTTGGGTGGGGGATGGGTGGGAAGTTGGTGAAGATGAGAGGGATTGGGGTGGGGGATGAGTGGGAAGGGGGTAAGGGTGAGAGGATGGTTGGGTTGGGGATGAGAAGGAAGGGGGTAAGGTTGAGAGGATGGCTGGGCGGGGGATGAATAGAAAGGGGTAAGAGTGAGAGGATGGTTGGGTGGGGGATGAGTAAGAAGGGGGTAAGGATGAGAGGATGGTTGGGTGGGGGATGAGTGGGAAGGGGGTAAGGATGAGAGGATGGTTGGGTGGGGGATGAGTGGGAAGGGGGTAAGGGTGAGAGGATGGTTGGGTGGGGGATGAGTAGGAAGGGGGTAAGGGTGAGAGGAGGGTTGGGTAGGGGATGAAGGGGGTAAGGATGAGAGGATGGTTGGATGGGGATAAGAGGGATTGAGATGAGAGGGATAAGGATATGAGTGGAGTGGGTATGGGATGAGTAAGAAGGGGGTAAGGGTGAGAGGATGGTTGGGTGGGGGATGAGTGGGAAGGGGGTAAGGGTGAGAGGATGGTTGAGTGGGGGATGAGTAAGAAGGGGGTAAGGATGAGAGGATGGTTGGGTGGGGGATGAGTAGGAAGGGGGTAAGGGTGAGAGGATGGTTGGGTGGGGGATGAGTGGGAAGGGGGTAAGGGTGAGAGGATGGTTGGGTGGGGGATGAGAGAGATGGCTGGGTGGGGGATGAGTAGGAAGGGGGTAAGGGTGAGAGGATGGATGTGTGGGGGACAAGAGGAAGGGGTCAAAGCAGATGAGAGGATGGTTGGGTGGGGGATGAGTAGGAAGGGGGTAAGGGTGAGAGGATGGTTGGTTGGGGGATGAGTAGTAAGGGGGTAAGGATGAGAGGATGGTTGGGTGGGGAATGAGTAGGAAGGGGGTAAGGGTGAGAGGATGGTTGGGTGGGTAAGGGTGAGAGGATGAGTGGGGGGAAGGGGGTAAGGTGAGAGGATGGTTGGGTGGAGGATGAGTGGGAAGGGGGTAAGGGTGAGAGGATGGTTGGGTGGGGAATGAGTGGGAAGGGGGTAAGGGTGAGAGGATGGTTGGGTGGGGGATGAGGTAGGAAGGGGGTAAGGGTGAGAGGATGGTTGGGTGGGGGATGAGTGGGAAGGGGGTAAGGGTGAGAGGATGGTTGGGTGGGGGATGAGTGGGAAGGGGGTAAGGGTGAGAGGATGGTTGGGTGGGGGATGAGTGGGAAGGGGGTAAGGGTGAGAGGATGGTTGGGTGGGGGATGAGTGGGAAGGGGGTAAGGGTGAGAGGATGGTTGGGTGGGGGATGAGTGGGAAGGGGGTAAGGGTGAGAGGATGGTTGAGTGATGGATGGGTGGGAAGTGGGTGAGGATGAGAGGGATAGGGGTGGGGATGAGTGGGAAGGGGGTAAGGGTGAGAGGATGGTTGGGTGGGGGATGAGTAGGAAGGGGGTAAGGTTGAGAGGATGGTTGGTTGGGGGATGAGTGGGAAGGGGGAAAGGGTGAGAGGATGGTTTGGTGGGTGATGAGTAGGAAGGGGGTAAGGGTGAGAGGAGGATTGGGTGGGGAATGAGTGAGAAGGGGGTAAGGGTGAGAGGATGGTTGGGTGGGGGATGAGGAGGAAGGGGGTAAGGGTGAGAGGATGGTTGGGTGGGGGATGAGTGGGAAGGGGGTAAGGGTGAGAGGATGGTTGGTTGGGGGATGAGTAGGAAGGGGGTAAGGGTGAGAGGATGGTTGGATGGGGATGAGTAGGAAGGGAGTGAGGATGAGAGGATGGTTGGGTGATGGATGTGTGGGAAGGGGGTAGGAATGAGAGGATGGTTGGATGGTTGATGGGTGGAAGAGGGTAAGGGTGAGAGGATGAGTAAGAAGGGGGTAAGGATGAGAGGATGGTTGGGTGGGGGATGAGTGGGAAGGGGGTAAGGGTGAGAGGATGGTTGGGTGGGGGATGGGTGGGAAGTGGGTGAGGATGAGAGGGATAGGGGTGGGGATGAGTGGGAAGGGGGTAAGGGTGAGAGGATGGTTGGGTGGGGGATGAGTAGGAATGGGGTAAGGGTGAGAGGATGGTTGGGTGGGGGATGAGTGGGAAGGGGGTAAGGATGAGAGGATGGTTGGTGGGGGATGAGTGGGAAGGGGGGGGATGAGAGGATGGTTGGGGGGGGGATGAGTGGGAAGGGGGTAAGGGTGAGAGGATGGTTGGGTGGGGGATGAGTGGGAAGTGGGTAAGGATGAGAGGATGGTTGGTTGGGAGATGAGTGGGAAGGGGATAAGGGTGAGAGGATGAGTGGGAAGGGGGTAAGGGTGAGAGGATGTTTGGGTGGGGGATGAGTGGGAAGGGGGTAATGGGTGAGAGGATGGTGATGGTGGGTGGGGATAATGTGGGGGAAGAAGAGGGGTGGGGAATGAAAGGTCTGGGGGGAAGAGAGGGATGGAGGAAGAGATGGATGGTGGAATAATAAGGTAGGGGATAAGAAGAGTGGGGTAGGGAATGAGAGGGTGTGAATGGGGAATGACAGGGCAGGGGGATGAGAGAGGTGGGGTGATGATGGGGATGGGGAAGACAGGGGCAGATGATGAGAAGGTTGGGGGATAAGAAGGTTCGAGGTAGGGAATGAGAGAGGTGTGGATGGAGGATAAGAGGGCAGGGGATAAAAGGGATGGAGTTGGGGAGATGAGAAAGATGGGGATGGGGGAAGAGAAGGGAGGATGATGAGAGGGGTGGGGGATGAGAGGGGTGGGAGATGAGAAGGGTGGGAGATAAGTGGGTGGGGCTAGGAGGTGTGAGGGTTGGGAAATGAGTGGGGTGGGTAAGTGAGGGGAGATGAGAGGAATGGGGTGAGGGTGGGGTGAGGGAGAGAATGTTACATGGGATAATCATTACATACTGGCCATCTTTCATCTTGGTCGAAGAGACACTTGGATTAGGGCGGCTGGCTGATTTGGTGGCAACTTTTTTTGCCTGTCGTAGTTGCAACAGATGAGATTCAGACTTTGGTCGTTCTTTCAAAGTTATCTCCTCATGATTATTATGGGACGGTAACATCTCAGACTTGGGTCGAGGTTTCAGTACACTACGGTCTTCTATATAGAAAAAATGCATCAATAAAAATTCACAAAGTACATGCACATTAATCATGTGATATGAATAGCATACTTGAAATGTAAAATACTTTATGAATTGAGTGTAGGGTTCACATTTCCATACAAAAGTCTAAATATATTATTTTATAAATACCACAAGGAAATTCTCACACAGATAGTAATGCTTAAAATACAATGTCAAAATGAAGTTTGAAAGGATACAATAAAGAACAGAGGAATCAGGAAGCCTGAGGTGAGAAAAGAATCAAGAGAAAAGCATTGAGTCTCCAGGAGGAAAACAATTTCACACAGCAGGCATGAAATCTAGGTGCAACGGCAACATTAAAAACAGGGAAAACAGGGACGAGTAGGGAAAAACAGAAAGAAGACAAATGAATCTATACCTTGGTGTCTCTCTATAACAGGAGATATCTACACCTTGGTGTCTCTCTGTTATCTCTATAACAGGAGATATCTACACCTTGGTATCTCTCTATAACAGGAGATATCTACACCTTGGTGTCTCTCTGTTATCTCTATAACAGGAGATATCTACACCTTGGTATCTCTCTATAACAGGAGATATCTACACCTTGGTATCTCTCTACAACAGGAGATATCTACACCTTGGTATCTCTCTATAACAGGAGATATCTACACTTTGGTGTCTCTCTGTTATCTCTATAACAGGAGATATCTACACCTAAGTGTCCCTCTGTGTCTGTCTTTGTGACAGGAGAAATCTTACCTTGGTGTCTGTCTTTGTGACAAGAGAAATCTTACCTTGGTGTCTGTCTTTGTGTCCTGGGTAGTACATATCCATGGTGTCTTCCTTTATGATCTGGAACCTACCATCCTGTTTAACAGAAGACTGTGTAGCAGAAATCATCACATGTATAACTTCTGATGATTATTTTGTACTCAACTAACCTGTAAATAACCATCAACTACCCAGTAACTAACCATCAACTAACCTGTAAATAACCATCAACTACCCAGTAACTAACCATCAACTACCCAGTAACTAACCATCAACTAACCTGTAAATAACCATCAACTACCCAGTAACTAACCATCAACTACCCAGTAACTAACCATCAACTACCCAGTAACTATCCATCAACTAACCAGTAACTATCCATCAACTACCCAGTAACTAACCATCAACTACCCAGTAACTAACCATCAACTACCCAGTAACTATCCATCAGCTACCCAGTAACTAACCATCAACTACCCAGTAACTAACCATCAACTACCCAGTAACTATCCAACAACTCACCTGTAACTAACCATCAACTACCCAGTAGTTATACCTCAATTTCCCAGTAACTAGAAATTAACTTCCCAGTAACTATCCATCAACTACCAAGTAACTAGAAATCAATTATCTAGTAACTAGCCATCAACTATCTCGTAACTAGCCACCAACTACCCAGCAACTAGAAATTAACTACCCAGTAACAACCCATCAACTACCGAGTAACTAGCAATAAACTACCCAGTTACTAGAAATTAACTACCCTGTAACTATCCATCAACCACCCAGTAAGAATAACTAAACTACCCAGTAAGTATACCTCAACTACCCAGTAACTATCCATCAACTACCCAGTAACTATCCATCAACTGCCCAGTAACAATCCATCAACTGCCCAGTAACTATCCATCAACTGCCCAGTAACAATCCATCAACTGCAGAGTATCTATCCATCAACCACCCAGTAAGTATACCTCAACTACCCAGTAACTAACCATCAACTACCCAGTAACTATCCATCAACTACCCAGTAAGCATACCTAAACTACCCAGTAAGTATACCTCAACTACCCAGTAACTATCCATCAACTACCCAGTAACTATCCATCAACTGCCCAGTAACAATCCATCAACTACCCAGTAAGTATACCTCAACTACCCAGTAACTATCCATCAACTACCAGTAACTATTCATCAACTACCCAGTAACTATCAATCAACTACCCAGTAACTATCCATCAACTGCCCAGTAACAATCCATCAACTGCACAGTATCTATCCATCAACCATCCAGTAAGTATACCTCAACTACCCAGTAACTAACCATCAACTACCCAGTAACTATCCATCAACTACCCAGTAAGTATACCTCAACTACCCTGTAACTAGCCATCAACTACCCAGTAAGTATACCTCAACTACCCAGTAACTATCCATCAACTACCCAGTAAGTATACCTCAACTACCAAGTAAGTATACCTCAACTACCCGGTACGTATACCTCAACTACCCAGTAACTATCCATCAACTACCCAGTAAGTATACCTCAACTACCCTGGAACTATCCATCAACTACCCTGTAATTATCAACTACCCAGTAACTATTCATCAACTACCCAGTAACTAGAAATTAACTACCCAGTAACTATCCATCAACTACCCAGTAATTATCAACTACCCAGTAACTATTCATCAACTACCCAGTAACTAACCATCAACTACCCAGTAACTATCCAACAACTCACCTGTAACTAACCATCAACTACCCAGTAACTATCCAACAACTCACCTGTAACTAACCATCAACTACCCAGTAGTTATACCTCAATTTCCCAGTAACTAGAAATTAACTTCCCAGTAACTATCCATCAACTATCTCGTAACTAGCCACCAACTACCCAGCAACTAGAAATTAACTACCCAGTAACAACCCATCAACTACCCAGTAATTATCCATCAACTACCCAGTAACTAGAAATTAACTACCCTGTAACTATCCATCAACCACCCAGTAAGAATAACTAAACTACCCAGTAAGTATACCTCAACTACCCAGTAACTATCCATCAACTACCCAGTAACTATCCATCAACTGCCCAGTAGCAATCCATCAACTGCACAGTATCTATCCATCAACCACCCAGTAAGTATACCTCAACTACCCAGTAACTAACCATCAACTACCCAGTAACTATCCATCAACTACCCAGTAAGTATACCTAAACTACCCAGTAAGTATACCTCAACTACCCAGTAACTAACCATCAACTACCCAGTAACTATCCATCAACTACCCAGTAAGTATACCTCAACTACCAAGTAAGTATACCTCAACTACCCAGTACGTATACCTCAACTACCCAGTAACTATCCATCAACTACCCAGTAAGTATACCTCAACTACCCAGTAAGAATACCTCAACTACCCAGTAACTATCAATCAACGTCCCAGTAACTATCAATCAACGTCCCAGTAACTATCCATCAACGTCCCAGTAACTATCATCAACTACCCAGTAACTAGAAATTAACTACCCAGTAACTAGAAATTAACTACCCAGTAACTAGAAATTAACTACCCAGTAACTATCCATCAACTACCCAGTAATTATCAACTACCCAGTAACTATTCATCAACTACCCAGTATCTATCCGTCAACTACCCAGTAACTAGCCATCAACTACCCAGTAACTATTCATCAACTACCCAGTAACTATCAATCAATGTCCCAGTAACTATCCATCAATGTCCCAGTAACTATCATCAACTACCCAGTAACTATTCATCAACTACCCAGTAACTATCCATCAACTACCCTGTAACTAGAAATCAACTACCCTGGAACTATCCATCAACTACCCAGTAACTATCCATCAATGTCCCAGTAACTATCATCAACTACCCAGTAACTATTCATCAACTACCCAGTAACTAGCCATCAATTACCCTGTAACTATACCTCAACTACCCAGTTACTAGAAATCAACTACCCAGTAACTATCATCAACTACCCAGTAACTATCATCAACTACCCAGTAACTATTTATCAACTACCCAGTAACTACCCATCAACTACCCAGTAACTAGCCATCAATTACCCTGTAACTATACCTCAACTACCCAGTTACTAGAAATCAACTACCCAATTACTAGAAATCAACTACACAGTAACTAGCCATCAACTACCCAGTAACTATCCATCAACTACCCTGTAACTATCCATCAACTACCCAGTAACTATCCATCAAATACCCAGTAACTAGAAATCAACTACCCAGTAACTATCCATCAGCTACCCAGTAACTATCCATCAACTACCCAGAAACTATCCATCAACTACCCTGTAACTAGAAATCAACTACCCAGTAAGTATACCTCAACTACCCAGTAACTATCCATCAACTACCCAGTAACTATCCATCAACTACCCAGTAACTATCCATCAACTACCCAGTAACTAGCCCTCAACTACCCTGTAACTAGAAATCAACTACCCAGTAAGTATACCTCAACTACCCAGTAACTACAAATCAGCTACCCAGTAACTATCCATCAACTACCCAGTAAGTATACCTCAACTACCCAACCTCAACTACCCAGTAACTAGAAATCAACTACCCAGAAAGTATAAACAGTTATGTTATTCTATCATATTTAACACACATCCTTTTTACTTACAATGGTTTCCATATCAAACTGTAAAACTTCAAACTTTTTCTGAGTGTCCTGGAGATCATCCTCCGTGATTCCACATGGCTTTTCCACAGGCTCCGCCTCTACATACAGAGGACGATCTGATGTATCAGTCACAACTCCATCACCTAAGAAAACAGTTCACAACTTTTATGACACTACTAGTTTGATTGATATCATCAACTAAAGACATCAGAATAATACTCAATATAATTCATGTCACCACACTGTAACATTCAATTTTATGTCTGATTTATACTTGATGATATTATAACTACCTGTCCTGTCTGATTTGTACTTTGTTACATTATAACTACCTGTCCTGTCTGATTTATACTTTGTTACATTATAACTACCTGTCCTGTCTGATTTATACTTTGTTACATTATAACTACCTGTCCTGTCTGATTTATACTTTGTTACATTATAACTACCTGTCCTGTCTGATTTATACTTTGTTACATTATAACTACCTGTCCTGTCTGATTTATACTTTGTTACATTATAACTACCTGTCCTGTCTGATTTATACTTTGTTACATTATAAATACCTGTCCTGTCTGATTTATACTTTGTTACATTATAACTACCTGGCCGTGCTAATTTGACCTTGTTCTGTATCCTCTGGTAAGCCGTCTGAGCAGAGAAGTTGATGGATTTTGTCGATGCATTGCGTGGTGTATACATTGACAAATCTGGGGCTGTAAGGGGTCTCTCCCTGATGTAACCAGCCTTGGCACGGTACACCCCACGCTGTGATTTGTTCACCTCTGACTTGAGATGACGATAGAGTCGCTTCTGACGTCTTGTCTGTTTGATAAAGTATTGTGAACTTGTACAAAAAAAAATCAAAGTGACTAGTTCACATCATTCATACAAATTCTTTAAAAGGATTAATTTTGTTTACGGAGGTAAACAATTTTTTTTCAATTTTTTAAACTTTTAGTAATAAATAATGCCCTTAAGACCAATGTTTTCATATGTACAGTTATTTTATTGGTCAGGTTGGTAATATCAATAGAACAGTAATCCCATTCATACAACTAATAGAAGATTAGAGTGTTATGTTTCCATGACTGCACAGTAACCTTCATCAGATAAATGACCAATATGGAGCTTACATACACTGACTGATAAATTGTACAATAAGAAATGGTAAGGAATCAACGAACTCTTTCAGCTAAACAACAAGATGGTAAGCAATACCCACAAATGTACCATAGAAATATGCAAAATACTTGCATATGTTTTGTGGTCTATAATCTGTTCACCATTTCATCACACTACTTATGCTAGTGATAGTACGCTCCACACTGGTCATTTGTCTGATGAAGGTGACAGTGTAGATATCATACACCAGATACGTCAGTGCTAGTACGCTCCACACTGGTCATTTGTCTGATGAAGGTGACAGTGTAGATCTCGTATACAATGTACATCAGTGCTAGTATGCTCCACACTGGTCATTTATCTGATGAAGGTGACCATGTAGATATCATACACCAGATACGTCAGTGCTAGTACTCTCCACACTGGTCATTTATCTGAGGAAGGTGACCGCGTAGATCTCGCACACTATGTACGTCAGTGCTAGTACGCTCCACACTGGTCATTTGTCTGATGAAGGTGACCGCGTAGATCTCGCACACTATGTACGTCAGTGCTAGTATGCTCCACACTGGTCATTTATCTGATGAAGGTGACCATGTAGATATCATACACCAGATACGTCAGTGCTAGTACTCTCCACACTGGTCATTTGTCTGATGAAGGTGACAGTGTAGATCTCGAACACTATGTACGGCAGTGCTAGTATGCTCCACACTGGTCATTTGTCTGATGAAGGTGACAGTGTAGATATCTTACACTACGTACGTCAGTGTTAGAATGCTCCACACTGGTCATTTGTCTGATGAAGGTGATCGTGTAGATCTCGCACACTATGTACATCAGTGCTAGTATGCTCCACACGGGTCATTTGTCTGATGAAGGTGACCGTGTAGATCTCGCACACTATGTACGTCAGTGCTAGTATGCTCCACACTGGTCATTTGTCTGATGAAGGTGACCGTGTAGATCTCGCACACTATGTACGTCGGTACTAGTATGCTCCACACGGGTCATTTATCTGAGGAAGGTGACCGCGTAGATCTCGCACACTATGTACGTCAGTGCTAGTACGCTCCACACTGGTCATTTGTCTGATGAAGGTGACAGTGTAGATCTCTTACACTACGTACGTCAGTGTTAGAATGCTCCACACTGGTCATTTGTCTGATGAAGGTGATCGTTTAGATCTCGTATACAATGTACATCAGTGCTAGTATGCTCCACACTGGTCATTTATCTGAGGAAGGTGACCGTGTAGATCTCGCACACTATGTACGTCAATGCTAGTATGCTCCACACGGGTCATTTATCTGAGGAAGGTGACCGCGTAGATCTCGCACACTATGTACGTCAGTGCTAGTATGCTCCACACTGGTCATTTGTCTGATGAAGGTGACCGTGTAGATCTCGTACACTATGTACGTCAGTGCTAGTATGCTCCACACTGGTCATTTATCTGAGGAAGGTGACCGTGTTGATCTCGCACACTATGTACGTCAGTGCTAGTATGCTCCACACTGGTCATTTATCTGAGGTAGGTGACCGTGTTGACCTCACACACTGTGTACGTCAGTGCCAGTATGCTCCACACTGGTCATTTATCTGAGGAAGGTGACAGTGTAGATCTCGCACACTATGTACGTCAGTGTTAGTATGCTCCACACTGGTCATTTATCTGAGGAAGGTGACCATGTAGATCTTGTACACTACCTAATTCAGTGCAAGTACGCTCCACACTGGTCATTTGTCTGATGAAGGTGGCTGTGTAGATGTTGCACACTAGGTACATCAGCGCTAGTTCATTTGTTTGATGAAAGTGACTGTGTCGATCTTTCACACTACGGACGTCAGGATTAGTACTCTCCACACTGATCATTTGTCTGATGAAGGTGATGATCTATTACACCTCATGACAATGAAAAGTAATAGAGATACGTAAGCATTAATTATTGTCAGTACATGCACTTAATATCGCAATCATGATATAAAATTTAAACACGTTTTATCTTGGCTAGCATTCATACACTGATCTACTAGTTTTGATTTCATCAATGATCTACTAGTCTAGCCTTCAAACACTGATCTACTAGTTTTGATTTCATCAATGATCGACAAGTCTAGCCTTCATACACTGATCTACTAGTTTAGCCTCCTTACAGATCCACTTGTCATGCTTTGAAACACTGATCAACTAGCCTTGCCTCCTTCTAGACCCACTAGTCCAGCCTTCTTACAGATATGCTAGTCTAGCCTCCTTACAGATCTAATATTCTAGAGACCTTAAAGATATACTAGTTAAGCCTACTTACAGATCTACTAGTCTAGCCTCCTTACAGATCTACTTGTTTAGACTCCTTACAGATCAACTAGTCTAACCTCCTTACAGATTTATTAGTCTATCCTACTTATAGATTTGCTAGTTTAGCCTCCTTATAGATCTACTAGTTTAGCCTCCTTACATACCTACTAATCAAGTCTCCCTACAGATCTACTAGTCTAGCCTCCTTATAGATCTACTAGTCTTTCCTCCTTATAGATCTACCAGTTTAGCCTCCTTACATATCTATTAGTTAAGTCTGCTTACATATCGTCTAGTCTATCCTCCCTACATATCTACTAGTTTAACCTCCTTAAATTTCTACTAGTCTATCCTCCTTACATATCTATTTTTTAAGCCTCCTTACATATCATCTAGTCTATCCTCCTTACATATCTACTAGTTTAACCTCCTTAAATTTCTACTAGTCTATCCTCCTTACATATCTACTAGTTTAGCATCCTTATATATCTACTAGTTCATCATCCTTATATATCTACTAGTTTAGCCTCCTTATATATCTACTAGTTCATCATCCTGATATATCTACTAGTTTAGCCTCCTTACATATCTGCTTGTCTAGACTTCTTACATATCTACTAGTTCATCATCCTTCTAGATCTACTAGTTTAGCCTCCTTACATATCTGCTTGTCTACACTTCTTACAGATCTACTAGTTTAGCCTCCTTACAGATCTACTAGTCTAGCCTCCTTACAAATCTACTAGTCTATCCTTCTTACATACCTACTAGTTTAGCCTCCTTACATACCTACTAATCAAGTCTTCCTACAGATCTACTAGTTGAACCTATTACAGATCGACTAGTCTAGGCTCCTTACAGATCTACTAGCCTATCCTTTTTACAGATCTACTAGTCTATCCTCTTTACAGATCTACTAGTCTAGCCTTCTTACAGATCTACTAGTCTAGCCTCCTTACAGATCTACTAGTCTGGCATCCTTACATATCTACTAGTCTAGTCTGCATACACCCATCCACCAGCATAGTCACCTTACAGACATACTAATCATTTCTCTCAACTGATCTTATAGTCTATATTCCTTACAGATCTAATGGTCTGGTCTCCTTACAGATCTAATAGTCTAGCCCCCTGGCAGATCTAATAACCTAGTCTCCAAACAGATCTATTAGTCTAACATCCTTACAGATCTAATAACCTTGTCTCCAAACAGATCTACTAGTCTAGACATCATACTCTAATCTACCAGCATAGCCTACTTACAGACATACTAATCATTTGTCCAAACAAATCTACTAGTCTATCTACTACTCTAGCCTCTTTACAGATCTGCTTGCCTTGCCTTCGTACATATCTACTAGTCTAGCCTCTTTACAGATCTACTAGTTTAGACTCCTTACAGATCTACTAGTCTAGCCTCCTTACAGATCTACTAGTTTAGACTCCTTACAGATCTACTAGTCTATCATCCCTACAGATCTACTAGTCTGGCGTCCTTAGAGATCTACTAGTCTAACCTACTTATATATCTACTAGTCCAGCCTCCTTACAAATCTACTAGTCCATCCTCCTCAAAGATCTACTAGTCTAGCCTCCCTACAGATCTACTAGTCCATCCTCCTTACAGATCTACTAGTCTGGCGTCCTTAGAGATCTATTAGTCTAACCTCCTTATATGTATACTAGTCTTGCCTCCTTACATATCTACTACTCTAGCCTCCTTACAGATGTACTAGTCTGGCCTCCTTACATATCTACTAGTCTAGCCTCCTTACAGATCTACTACTCTAGCCTCTTTACATATCTACTAGTTTAGACTCCTTACAGATCTACTAGTCTAGCCTCCTTACAGATCTACTACTCTAGCCTCCTTACAGATGTACTAGTCTGGCCTCCTTACATATCTACTAGTCTAGCCTCCTTACAGATCTACTACTCTAGCCTCTTTACAGATCTACTACTCTAGCCTCCTTACAGATGTACTAGTCTGGCCTCCTTACATATCGACTAGTCTAGCCTCCTTACAGATCTACTACTCTAGCCTCTTTACAGATCTACTAGTTTAGACTCCTTACAGATCTACTAGTCTAGCCTCCTTACAGATTTATTAGTCTATCCTCCTTATAGATTTGCTAGTCTAGTCTCTTTACAAATGTATTAGTTAAGCCTACTTACAGATCTACTAGTCTAGCCTCCTTACAGATCTACTAGTCTGTCTAGTCTCCTTACAGATCTACTAGTCTAGCCTCCTTACAGATCTACTAGTCTAGCCTCCTTACAGATCAACTAGTCTAACCTCTTTACATATCTACTAGTCTAGCCTTCTTACAGATTTATTAGTCTATCCTCCTTATAGATTTGCTAGTTTAGCCTCCTTATTTATCTACTAGTTTAGCCTCCT